TTCTGGGCTCTCTTTTTGTTTCATTGATCTATATGTCTGTTTTTATACCAGTACCATGCTGTTTCTTAATTTTTTTAAAAAAAAGATTTCATTTATTTTTAGAGAGAGGCTGAAGGAGGGAGAAAGAGAGGGAGAGAAACATCAATGTGGTTGCCTCTTGCGTCCCCTTACTGGGGACGTGGCCCACAACTCAGGCATGTGCCCTGACTGGGAATTGAACCAGTGACCCTTTGGTTTGCAGGTTGGCACTCAGTCCACTGAGCCACACCAGCCAGGGCAGTACCATACTGTTTTGATTACTATGGCCTTGTGTAGAGTGATTTAATATTAGGTAGAGTGATTCCTCCAACTTTGTTCTTCTTTCTGAGGACCACTGTTGCTATGTGGGGCCTTTTGTGGTTCCATATAAGTTTTTGAAATATTTTTTCTAGGTCTGTGAAATAAGCCACTGATTTCTTGGTGGGAATTGTGTTGATTCTATAGATTGCTTTGGATAGTATGAACAGTTTAATGATGCTAATTCTTTCTGTCCATGAATATGATGCATGCTTCTATTTATTTGTATCTCCTTCAGTTTCTTTCTTCAGTCTCTTATAATTTTCTGAGTATAGGTCTTTTACATTTTTGGTTAAACTTATTCCTAGATGTTTTACTTTATTTAAGCAATTGTGAATGAGATTGTTTTCTTACTTTCTCTTTCTAATAGTTCATTTCATGTATAAAAATGCAATTGATTTCAGGATATTTATTTTGTATCCAGCTACTTTACTGAATTCATTTATCAGTTCTAGTAGTTTTTTTGTGGAATTTTTAGGGTTCTCTATATACAATATCATGTCATTTGCAAATAATTACAGTTCTACTTTTTCCTTTCTAGTTTGGTGGCTATTATTCCTTTTTCTTGTCTGATTGCTGTGGGTTGGACTTCCAGTACTATATTTATTAAGAGTGGTGAAAGAGGACATTCCTATCTAGTTCCAGATCTTAAGGAAAACGCCTGTAGTTTTTTCCCCCGGAGTCTGATATTGGCTACAGGTTTGTCTTGTATGACCTTTATTAAATTGAGGTATGTTTCCTCTATTCTCACTTTGCTAAGAGTTTTTGTCATAAGTGGGTGTTGGGTTTTATCAAATGCTTTTTCTCTATTGATATGATCATGTGGTTTGTATTTTATTTGTGTGGTTTATTGATTTGTGGATATATTGTGCACCCCTGGAATAAAATCCCACTGGATTGTTCTAAGGCAGCCTGGGGTCAGTGGCTTGTTGCCATGTACATGTATAACATGAAGATGTGTAGGGAAGGAAAAAATTTATTAACAGGGTACTCTTTTTTTTTAATTTATTTAATCGTTAGAATGGAAGGAAAGGAGAGAAGGAGAGAAATATCAATGTAGGGTTGCTTCTGGTGCATCCCTTGCTGGGAACTGGCCCCAGCTGGGAACTGGCCTGCAACCCAGGCATGTGCCCTGACGGGGAATCGAACTTTGATTGTCTGGTTCGCAGGCCCGCACTCAGTCCACTGAGCTACACCAGCCAGGGCAACAGGGTACTCTTTTGAGGAAACTGGGAGCATTCCTGCTCCTAGACAGGCTTGTCCACAGGGCAGAGGAAACCAGTCACCTGTAGAAAGATTAGTCTTAAATCCATGACCAGAAGCTCCCATTAGTACTTATATATAGCCCAAGGTTGTTACTCAAAGGGGTCTCCATCTCTCCAGCTCTAATTTTGTCTTTCTGGTGCCAGAGACACCATCACTTTGCAGCAGCTTTCTGGTCATGGTCTGCTCCAGGTGTCCTTTGGAGTTTGTGCACACTGGCCAGCGGAAGTCCCACTCCTGGCACACTGCTTTTTCCTTGACTTCTACCTCCCGGACCAGCCCTTGCCCCCTGTCTCTCTGGCATCAGCTTGTGGGTGCAACCCTGCTCCTAGTCAGAAGGCTCCAGGATTGGTCGGAGCAGCTGCTGCCTGCTGTGGCAGATGTTCATGGGGGCTCCGCCCCGCTGCCAGCTGCTAGGGCACCTGGCTTCCCCGACTGGCTGGGGTGCAAAGCACTGACCAGCTAAGCACCTTCCCGCATTCCCTGCTGTGGGTCTTATGCCCTGTGGGGCTGGAGCAGGTGGAGCAGGTGAAGCGGCAGTGACAGCGGAGCTTGAGGATGATGGGGCCTATGCTGGAGGAGTGTGTGTGGGTAGCTGGTGGATGGCTGCTGCCATGGCTTCCCTTTTGGGGGGAGGGGTACCAGGTGTGCTGCCTGGCCACATTGCCTCCTGGTCAGCTGACCTGGGCCTCCTCCCTTTCTCCCTTACTGGTCAATGGCCACTGTGTTCCTGGCCACACAGGTCCTGGAGAGTTCAGGGAGTGGCACAGAGAATGCTCTGGACCATGAGGTTCCCCCCAAGGTCCATAGGCTCAGGAATCCGAGCCCCTGGCGTCCAACTGACCAGTGAGGGGAGGAGAGAGCAAATTGCTGGCATTTCTGTGTTCTGCTTTTAAAGCTTGCCCCTGGAATCCCCCATGTACCTGAGGTTGATGAGAGGGGATCTCTATCCCTTAAATCACCTTCCTAGACTGCCAAGCACCCTAAACACCACTTTCTGCTGAGTCCCAGTGCGGTGGCCCTAGTTGCTGGGGCAGTGCATGCACGCTCTGGTCCTCGGTGCTTCCCAACCCCTCCCCATTTCTGGGCAGCGATGGGCCTGGTTATATTACGGTGTGTGATCTTTTTGATGTATTTCTTTGTAAAAAATAATTTTATTCCTTTTTTTTAGATTTTTAAAAATTTATTTATCTTTAGAAGAGAAGGGAAGGAGAGAGGGAGAGAAATATCAATGTATGGTTGCTTCTTGTACTCCCCTGCTGGGAACTGTCCTACAACCCAGGCATGTGCCCTGACTGGGAATCAAACCGTGATCCTGTGGTTTGCAGGCCCGTGCTCAATCCACTGAGCTACACCAGCCAGGCTTGATGTATTTCTGTCAGATTTTCTAATATTTTGTTCAGAGTTTTAGCATCTATGTTCATCAGAGATATTGGCCTATAATTTTCTTTCTTTATATTGGCCTCATAAAATGAGCATGGGAGTCTTCCTTCCTCTTGAATTTTTTGGAATAGTTTGAGAAGGATAGGTGTTAGTTTTTCTTTGGACATTAGGTAAAATTCACCTGTGAGGATATATGATGAAGGGCTTTTGTTTGTTGGGAGTTTTTTGATTACTGCTTCAATCAGTAATCGAACTACTTTCAGTAGTTGTAATCTGTCTATTCAGATTATCTGTTTCTTCCTGGTTCAGTTTTGGAAGGTTGTATGATTCTAGAAATTTATCTTTATAGGGAAAGTGGAGGCAGTCTGGCTTCCTCACCCAGATGTCTGGGTAACTAAGGAAATCAGGGTTCCCGTAGCCTCGGAAGGGCCTGATAACCAGTGTTCTCATAGCCTTGAGACTGGGTCCGATAAACTGTTCCCAGAACATGAAGTGGGTTCGCATGTGCAGAATTATGTTATGTAATGTTCTAGTATTTCTCCAGCTTGGTTCCCCTCTATACTTAAACAAGTAGGGGTTCTCACTAGTTAGACATGCAGCTTGCAGCATGCATGGTTTGCCCACCCTTGAATAAAGGTATGTCAAGCATCCCCATGGCTCCATGCATTTTCTTCTGTCTTCCAGAAGGGAGAGTGGATCTCCTTGGTCTTGATCTGCTGCAATACAGTCCTTTTTGTCCATGTTGTCCAATTTGTTGGCGTATCGTTGTTTATACTGTTTTCTTACATTCCCTTGTATTTCTGTGGAGTCAGTTGTTACTTCTATTTCATTTCTGATTTTATTTATTTGGGGCATCTCTTTTTCTTGATGAGTCTGGTTAAAGGTTTATCAATCTTATTCATCTTTTTAAAGAACCATCTCTTGGTTTCATTGATATTTTATATATTTTTTAGATGCTTTCATTTATTTTTGCCCTGATCTTTATTATTTCCTTCCTTTTACTCACTTTGGGCTTTGTTGTTCTTTTTCAGGTTCCTTAAAGTGTAAAGTTAGGTAATTTATTTGAGTTTTTTTCTTCTTTTTTGAGCTAGGCCTGTAATGCTATGAATTTCCCACATAGGGGAAATTTCTCTGTGCCCCATAGATTTTTGGTGGTTGTGTTCTCATTTTCATTTGTTTCGGGGTATCTTTTGATTTCTTCCTAGATCTCATTGTTAACTCATTCATTGTTTAGTAATGTGTTACTTAGCCTCCGTGTCTTTGTGCGTTTTTCAGGTTTTTTCTTATAATTGATTTCTAGTCTCATGCCATATGGTCAGAGAATATGCTTGATATGATTTCGGTATTCCTAACTTTATTGTGAATTGTTTTATGTTTTAACATGTGGCCTATCCTAGAAAATATTCTGTGTGAACTTGAAAAGAATGTATATTATGCTGCTTTGGGGTGAAATGCCCTGAAGATGTCAATTAAACTTAGGTGACATAGTATGTCATTTAAGGCCATCGTTTCAAAGTAACGTTACAGTGAATGAACTATTTGATTGAAGATGGACTACAAAGCTAAAATAATGCGTTCATTTAACGTAGTGCTTAGTGCTTAGAAATTTACTCAGTGCTTCTTATGGACAAGGCATCATCCAGTTATTGCATGTTAAGCCTGACTGTTAGTCACTGTGAAATTATGTCATATTTCATCAAAGAGCTAATTAATTTTGTTCTATTTATTTTAAAATTATTATTTTATTATTTCCACACCACAGAACTGAATATTTAAAAATTAGATTTTAGTTACTGAGACAGAATTTGAGTGACAGGGAAGTTTTAACAGTAGCTTTTCTGATATTTGATATTTACAAAGAGAATATTTTTATACTTATGAAGAGTTTATTCTCATTACTGCCCCTTGAAAACTTATTCATTGATTATGAGTCACTCAAGATATGATCTTTAGTGAAGGAGCTACCTATTTCTACTTATATACCAAATTCAAATTCATTACTTTTTCTGTCCGTATAGTCTATTGCATCTGCAGACATGGATTTCAACCAGCTGGAGGCATTCTTGACTGCTCAAACCAAAAAGCAAGGAGGAATCACATCTGATCAAGCTGCTGTCATTTCTAAATTCTGGAAGAGTCATAAGACAAAGATCCGAGAGAGCCTCATAAACCAGAGCCGCTGGGACAGTGGGCTTCGGAGTCTGAGCTGGAGAGTTGACGGCAAATCACAGTCGAGGCACTCAGCTCAGATACACACCCCTGTTGCTGTAATGGAGCTGGAAATAGGGAAGAGTGGACAGGTGAGTTCAACTTCAATAAATTTCCCTTTGTCATCTACATTTCCCTTACATATTAGCAATACATTGGAATTGATTTTACGTGGTAGTCATCTTTACAGAAATAGTGAGAATAATGGGAAAAGACCTTGTTTCCTAGAATCTCACTTCAAAATGGAATAATTTAAAAATTTGGACACTACCAATTGTGTACACAGTCTGGAAACCAGCCTCGGGGTTCTGGCAGCTATCACAGAAGAACAAAATGGGTCAATAAGGTGAGAGTACAGAAGTGGGCCACTACTCCATTTTTGTTTGATTTCAGAATTCTTGGCATTTGGTCAGACTCTCCAAGGCAATGATAGAAATGTTATATAAAGACCAGGAATTGAGATTAAACAACGTAGCACAAAATTCTCTCATTTAGTCATATTTATTTGGGTCAGGTACTGGAAAAAGTATATCTTAAGTACTATAATGTATTGTTACTAAAGACCGTAAGTGTGCTACTTCTGTCCTTGAGCCCACAAGTAATTTTTAATTTGATGTTGATTATTTACATGACATTGATGCTTTTTCTTGTAGTCATTATAGCGGATGATTTTAGTAAACACATGGTTTTTCTTGAAGTCATTTGGTTTGTGCTCCAGAATACTGCTAGATCAGATTTTTAATGACCTGGTGTGTATGTCTTTTGGGGAGAAAAAGCAGCAACTTGTAATTAGGAAGAGAAACCTAGATTACTGAATTAGCTAGCCAGATTAATTTTCAGATAAATAATGAAATACGTGTCCCTGTTGGTTTCTATAGTAGAAATGTATTATTTATTTTCTTCTAATGATGAGAACACTTTTTTAGCTGGCACATTTCGTCATATATTCCCTTCTTGAGTTTTTAGGGTTTACAGTGTCTGTACTTCTATAATGACTTTAATTTTAATTTAAAATGTAATTCCTTTTAAAAAATATAATCCTTCTTCAAAATACATTTGGAGAATCTTTTATTCAGTTACTGTAAAACAGTACTAATTGCCTGTATTGACTTTGGTTTGTTTGACCCAAAAGTCCATTCTCTTAACCATTGTGTTTTATGGCTTTCCTCCTTCTGTTCCTAGACCAAAAGTCTGGCAGATTAGCAATGTGCAATAAGTGTATTTAGGTGTTTCACCAGCAATTTGTAACAGGATATTCATTTTTTTATTATAGCTTCTATATTTTGGCAATTGTAAATAATGCTCCAATGAACATAGGGGTGCTTATGTTCTTTCAAATTAATGTTTTGGATTTCTTCAGATAAATTCCCACAAGTAGAATTTCTGGGTCATAAAGCAATTCTATTTTTTTTAAAGATTTTATTTATTTATCTTTAGAGAGGGGAAGGGAGGGAGAAAGTGAGGTAGAGAAACATGAATGTGTGGTTGCCCCTCATGCACCCCTTACTGGGGACCTGGCCCACAATTTAGGCATGTGCCCTGACTGGGAATTGAACTGGTGACCCATTGGTTCACAGGCTGGCACCCAGTCCACTGAGCCACACTAGCTAGCGTGGCAGTTCCATTTTTAGTTTTTTTGTGTCTCTATGCTGCTTTCCACAGTGACTGCACCAATGTGCATTCCTACCAACAGTGCAGAAGGGTTTCCCTTTCTCCACATCCTCACCAGCACTTGTTTGTTGATTTATTGATGATAGCCATTCTTACCAGTGTAAGGTGATACCTTGTTGTGGTTTTTTAATTTGCATTTCTTTGATGATTTGTGATGTTGAACATCTTTTCATATGTCTATTGGAGAAGTGGCTATTCAGGTCCTTTGCCCATTTTTTAATTGGATTGTTTGTTTTTTGGTGTTAAGTTTTATAAGTTCTTTATAAACTTTGGATATTAACCCCTTATCAGATGTAGCAGTGAATATGTTCTCCCATTCTGTGGGTTGTCTGTTTATTTTGTTGACGGTTTCTTTTGCAATGCAAAAATTTTTTAGTTTGGTATAGTCCCATTCGTTAATTTTTTCTTTTGTCTCCCTTGCCTGAGGAGATGTATCAGATGGTAGATACACTTTTGAAACCACCACTCTGGTCATAAGACAGTGTGCATCACCCCCTAAAAGTTTCCTTGTGCCCTTTTACAGTCCATCCCTATCTTCACCTCAGTTCCTTAACAACCAGTAATCTGCCTTTTGTTATTGCAGATTAGTTTTTTTCTGCTTTATTTTTTCTTTCTGTCACTTATTACTGCCCAGCGTGTTATATACAGTTGAGCCTTAAACAGCATAGATTTGAATTGCGTGGGTCCATGTATACATGGATTTTTTCCAGTAAATATATAGTAAGCCCTCCATATCCCTGGTTGGGAAACCACAGATATGAAGGGCCAACTATATACATTGTTCTGTACCATATTATATAAGGTACTTGAGCATCTAAGGATTTTGATATCTGTAGGGGTCCTGGAACCAATCCTCTGTGGATACTGAGGGACTGTAGTTAAGTTTTGGGGTTAAGTCAAAAGTTACGTGTGTGAGGGGGTACTTATAGACTCTTGTAACACCCACATTGTTCAAGGGTCAATTGTATTTTGTTTCATTGATTAATCTTGTCTGTGCTCCACATTAGCATATAAGGGGAGCAAAGTTTTTGCTATTTTTTTCACTGCTATATCCTTATGATCCAGGGTCTTAGATACTTCCTGGCAAATGGTGGTCAGTAAATATTTGTTGAGTGAATAAATGAATCACATAATTCACTATTTAGTAAGCATCTACTATGTATCAGACACTGTATAGGTGTTGGGGATACATCGTTAAACAATACAGACAATTCCCTTATCTTACAGAGCTGACAGTAAAAGAGAGGTAGTAATTAGTGTAAGAAAGTATGTCAGAGTAAAAAAGAGCCTCGTCAAATCTTAGAAGAGGGAATGGCTCTCTTAACCTGGAAATTGAGGAAGGCAGTTCTGAGGAGGTGACGTTTACATTTGGTTTCTCTAACAACTTCATTGCTTATTTTGAGCTGAGTGTCATGATCAGTAAAAAAGTTGGTACATGCAGTACCAATTCTCTAAAGTTTATAAACATAACTCTTGCATGTTACATGTAGGTGTGACTGTTGGCACTGGTTTAGTGTGGTTTCCTGATGATGGCCATTTCTTTTTTATTTTAACCATTTTCTACATGTTGGTTTTTCAGTTTTTCAACCCACAGGCAGTAAGAAGTAGCAAGAAGTAAATTGGCAGAAAATTGTTTCAAGAAAAAGCCAGACTTATTTAGTGCAGTGATTTTCAGCATCACTACATATCATACTCACCCGAAGAGCTTTAAAAAATTATGGATGCTCAGACCCCACCTCAGAGTAAGGGGCACCACTTCAGTTTGAGTGAGGAAGGCTTCTCCAAGGAGGCAGGTTGATCTGGGAATATAAAACACAGGCAGAGGGAAGAGCAAAGGCAAGAAGTTGGCCTTGTTAAGAAATTTGGATTTTTATTCTAAGCATAATAGGAAACCATTGGAGGGTTTTAAACAGGGCATCATGCAGGCTGATTGATGTTTGCATAGGATTGCTTTGATTCACATGTGAAGGATGGGTTAGAACATAGTAAAAAATGAAGCCATGGTACTAAGATCTCAGGAAAAAAATCACTAAGGTTGGAACTGTTTATTTGCACATTAAAAATAGCTCTCTTTTACTTCCAAATTTCTGTGTGATAGTAGTTAGGTAAAATGGGATCTCAAGATAAAAAACAAAAAGTTTCATTCTTCATTCTGTTAGAAAGGTTAAGTATCCCAAATGAACAGAGCCAAAATTAGTACTCCACTTCAAAATAAGGTTGTGTTCAAAATGGGGTTTTGGACAATTTCCATTTTACATTTCCACCTCTGTTCATATGACAATTCCATCGTAATGTCTCAAAATTTGTTTTCAAGCCTAGGGATAACTAATACAAATCAGTATTGTGCCAAAAGGAAAAAAAAAGTGAAGCCAGGAAAACACATAGAAGGAGTTATTGCAGGAGCCTTAGCAAGGTAGATGGAAATAATTTTAGCAGTCACAGTGGAGGGAAGTGAGCAGATAGGAGAAATGTTTTGAATGTAGATGACTTACTTTGAGATGAATTGAAAAGGATGTGGAAAAATGAGAGAAAGGGAGGGCTTGGTGATAACTTTTTTGTGTACGAATGTTAGTATAAATTGCTAATCCTAGTCTTAGTTTTATTACTAAGTTGACCATCTAATATGCAACTTGAGTTCTTTGATTGCTTTAATTAGCCCTTGCACTTGGGAAAAAAAGAAAAGAAATTATTTAACATTTGGCAGTTAAGAAAATGCTCTTTGTGCTGAAGTAATTTTCATTTTAAACTCTCAATTTATAGAGATGCATTTGAGTTTATTGAGCTCAAATTTTTCCTTATAGGCTTAACACATCTTATGATGTGCCCTTTTCTGTCTGTATATTATACTTCAATAAAAAGATATAAAAAGGGAGAGAAAGATATGAGTGTCTTTGCAAACTTATTGACCCTCTGAGAGCAGGGCTTTGGCAGAACCGAAGTCCTTAGCTTCTGACTAGTAACCTGCCAATAGGCAGCCCCTAGTTTTGGACTCCTTTCAGATTTTTGCTGCTCCGGCTCTGGTTCCATTCTTGTGGACAGATGGGGGTGATTGAGAGGAAGCCAGGAAACCAAGCCTTAAGAGGACTTGGAAACGATTTTTGGATGTCAGTGTTTTTTGCTAAACTCAGGGTGACAGTATATCTTGCCCAGCAATGTTGAAACTGTTTGTGTTTGTCTAGGATTTGTGTACTGGCTGGTTGACTCTGGGCTTCAATCCAGGCCACTGCTCTGCTGCCAGGATGCATGGAGAAGGCCTCTGGCCCAAGCCCATTCTTAGCACTTGTTTTGTGTGTGTAATATATCTTATATATCACACAAAATTTACCATTTAACCACTTTTAAGTGTGCAGTTCAGTTGTATTAAGTACATTCACAGTGTTGTGTAAACATCACCACTCTCCATTTCCAGAACTTTTTCATC